AAACCAAACCCAAGGAAATGCTAAAAAAGAACACCCTGCTCTGGAATGTACAAGGAAATGCACAAAGTAACAGACATTATTAAAACCTAAGGAGAAAACCCATGTTTTTAAACAATTACTAAAACAGTATAGTAATAGCATAGAGACAATTTTTGTGCCAGCTTGTTTCTCTGAAATTCTGCCACCGAACAGCTAGAACAGATAATAACTATTAGTAAATCAAACTCCTCTGCAATATCCAGCTGTGCCTCACGCATTTACATACAGATAGAATGGGTATATGTTTTTAATATGTATGGGATACGTACTTTTCCCACAGCCGAAGTTCAGGCTACAAAGGAGGAGGAGAATGGAATGGGATCAGCATGAGATAATAAAGTGGCCTAGATAAAGTATTAGCCAGCGATTGATCTCAAACCGGGATGCTGCTTCTTCTGACCTGATTACTTACTATGCATAGATTCCATTAAATAGAGCTTAGACATGGGAAGCTCCTGGAAATACTCTAAATGCATAGAAGGATGTGCAACACTCTGAGCCCAAATTGTAACTGTGTAGGTGCCCGGCCCTCACCCTCTCTGCTCCAGCCAAGGCCCTCATTCTGGACAGACCAGGAGGTTAAAGGCTGCCTGACAGCTGGTGGGAGCCTTGCTGAGTCTCACAGGGAGGGTCTTCCCCTCCCTCCCTCATACCAAGCATGTACTCTCTGAAAATGACTGCCCCGCCCAAGCTGCTTTCTGGTCCTGACACACAGCTTTAAGGAACAGAATGGGAAGGTAGAGGGAGCTTAACAATTATTTAGGGTCATGGTGCCCTTTGAAAAACTGGTGACAGCCACAAATTCCTCTTTTCAAAAGAAAGTGAAAATCTACATGTGTACACAAGATTTTTGCATGTTAATTTCCTGGCTCTAACAGACTTCCTGAAGTTGAGGACCCTTGGTCAAGGCTCACTGATCCACAGCATCCCCTTGGTTTTGTAGATGAAGAGGCTGAAGTGGAAGGGAATGAGTCATTGCTTGGTTACACAGGGAACAGCCATAGCAGAGAGGCTCTCTCTGCTAAATCACAGTCTGACCTTAGTTACCAAAGAACTAAAGGAAGAGTAATTCTTTGTGTTTTACAGAGGCAAATGGTCTATGCATGTTTAATTTAAAAATATTTAAACATATAATTAGAAAAGCAAAATGAGACTAGAATCACCATTTCAATGCTCTCACCTCAGTCGTTTCTGTCTTTTGAGTATAAGGATCTAATTTTTAATATTTTGGTTTTCTCAATCTGATCACTGACATTATGGGGGAATTTTTCTACAATCTTTCTGCAGTCCCACCAACCTTTTTTGACTGTAGAAACTGGCTTTTCTCCACATAAGCCAATATATTCCGTGGGTGTCTGAAGCCTGATGAACGTTCTGCCTGCCACTGTTTCAGAGTCTCTAGTGCCTAAAAAAAAATTTTTTTTGAGGTTTGTTGGTACCAGGCCACAGACCTGGGATGGTGTGGTCAGGCTCTTCAATCGTGGAATCATTATCACGAGAGCAGAAAGAATTGGGGGTGGGGTTCCTATCTGCCTGTTTGAGTCAGCATGCTGAATGTTTGCAGCTGGCTTTCCTTTGTGGGGTTAAAAGCTGACTACTGATTTATGCAATAGGCTCTTGAAGAGTTCAAGGAAGGCCACACCTTCCCCAGGATAAGGGACTTGCCTATATTTGAATGGGAAGTAAACCTCAAGAGAATTCACTTAAGCAAAAAAGTCCATGTGGTTAGAAGTTAGATAGGTAAACTATGCTGCTTTTATGTAGGTCTGGGGCCTACACAGACTTGGCAGTGCCCATCCTTATTTCCTATGCCTGCAATGGTCCCTTGAAAAATCTCTATTAAAATTCAATCCTATGGTGGGGGAAGGGAGCATGGGGGAGAAATGACCCAAACAATGTACACACATGTAAATAAATGAATAATAATAAAAAAATTTAATCCTACTTTTAAAGTCCTTTTCCAAATGCTACTTCCTCCAGCCAGCTTTTCCCCACTCCCCCCATAGAACTCTGTAGCTTCTTTGTAACAGTTCATTCTAGCTCTTTGTGTACCTGCCATATCCCCTACAAGACCATGCCTGTGTGGCTTATTATTTTTTAAATCTTCTGTAGGGTCTAGCACAGGAGTTTGCACATAGTGGTCTAAAATAACTGTCAAATTCAATTACTTTCCTAATCCTGAGATCTCTTAGGAGGAGGTGGATGCAGAAATGAAACTTTTGGGTGAATTCTTTATCTAGCTTAATGGCTACATCAGCCATCAATGACTGCATCAGTTCATATGAACGCTGGCCTCCTCAAAAATGTGAGAATTAAAGGAATTTCTTGGCCCAGTTTTATGACTTCCACTTACAGCATAAATACTGATAACATCTGAAGAAGAGCCATACAAAGTAGAGTGAATTAAATAGCTAAACAACTAAATGAGTTCTGACGCTGGGATTTTAATGGTCTTAAGAGTTTAACCTGGTGGGGGTGGGGGTGGGGAGGTGGCCCAAATAAACGCCAAAATGATTTAAAAAGAGAAAGAAGAAGAAGAAGAAAAAAAGAAAAAGAAATGCCGAGAAAAAAAAAGATAATTTAATCTGGAGTTTCACATTTCATCTTCAAGACTGACATGGACAATGACTTTAAGGCTTGATATTGGCTATCTGGTTGTATATAGTGACCCCCACCAAATAAAAAGACAAAGACAGCTTGAGTGTCCACTGTGTAAATAGTCCAGGCCCAGGGGTCAAAGGGAGTTCAGGCTGGGGCACCTGTGTTCACCAATGAAGGCAATACCTGAAGTTCAATTAAGAGTTTCCAAATGGTGAATCTATTTCCACCAGATTCCACCTTTGATTTTCTTCCTTCAGTTTGGAAAATGCAAACCCACAGGGAAACCCTGACAATCCTGCAGGTCTCACAGCTGATACAGCCCAAGCTGTGCTGCCCACATTGGTATCCTGCTGGCTGGAGTTACTGTGCTTGGGAGATGAAGTGCTCCTTTTGTAAAAGGCACGGCCCCCCACCCACAGTGACAAATGGGCTCTACAGTTCATGCATTCCAGAGGCTCTCAGCTTCCAAGTGGGAGCACCATCAAACAGATTGCAAGTGGAGAGGGAAAAGGAAAAATTAAAGCCATTAATATGCTTAAAGGAATAAAGAAACTGGTTCCTTATGACTAGGTCCCTAGGATGTAACTCAGGTTTTAAGACAAGGGACGACTCACTTTCTTTCCCATTCCCTATTGGGTCCAATCTTTTGGCAAACAGCAAGCAGGGCTCAATGATCTTGACCAAACACCTCCCCTCCTCAGTTTCCTGCCTCCTCACAGAGCCCTCATCAAACAAGGTGCTTTACTTCACTCCTCTGCAAATAAATTCACTAAAAATCAAATAGTGAGTATTATCAGAGATAATGTTAAAGTAAATATCTGACTAAATTTCTTATTGTATTTTCTTGATTTATTGATATTTATTGCTAAAAAGTATGAAACAGGATAAACACATATCGCTCCTCCCACCCCCCCAACACAGATGTATATGCACACATGCTTCTACAACCACTTGCTTCCAAGGCATTGAAAATACTCATTCTTTAGCCTTATTTTTATGACTCACCGCCCTGGAGAGGTGTTCCTTTCCCACACATACATCCACAAACATTTATAGGTGTATGTGTGATCTGCAGATGTTTTATTTATAAGTGGCCAACTCATTGCCGCATTGAAACATGCATTTACAAACAGATATCTGTGTTATGAAACCCTATTCCTTTGTTTTAATAGCTGAGCTATCCAGCCATATCACAATAATGCACAAGGTAAATGGGTCTCCATCTCTAGAACCTGTTCCAAGTTTCCTCAAATGTTACTAACTGCTAGAATTTCCCAACCACCAAAGAAAACAAAAACAAACAAGCAAACCCAAAAATCAAAAATCAAAACCAAAACAAAAACTCCAACCTCCCCAAACCCACACATTCATTTTAATTTAAACACAAAACCTGTACAGCTATAAACTGCAGAGGTTTTAGGGGTGAACTTTAACTTAAAACTACCTGGAAAACTGAGATTTTTGCTCCAGGGAAATATAAAGAAGAAAAGTATCTAGTTAGAAAGCACTTATAATGCAAAAGAGAAAGGTATTCTAGGTGAAGATGAAATCTGTATTATGCAGAAGTCTGGGTGCTTCAGAGTGTTTATTGGGATGGAATATAAAGGATGAAAAAACTCTGGACCTATATATGGAAAGTGCACTTTGTTTAAAGAGGTGAAAGAAAATTGGTCAGATTTGCTCCAACTGCAGAATGTGAGGAGTGGGTACATAAAACACTGGAAAAACTAGACTGTAATTATATTTACTAATGCTCTATCCTAACTCATTGGAACTGCTTGTGCATTGTCAAATCTACGATCTGCACTAAATAAATGACCATTTGGGAATTGTTAGTGAGTGTCTCTGTTCCTCTCCCTGCTTGAGTAAAAACTGACATTTGCAATCAAAGAAAGCTGCCTTGGAAATGAGAATATAGCACTAGCAGCCTTGTAGTGTCTCTTTTTGAGAAAAGACCAAAGATTCACATTAACTTGATCTTTTGCAGCCAGTCTAATTTCATTGTACATGAATCCAAGAGGACTTCACGCCACACTCAGAGTATCCTGTAGGTCTGCAGTGGAAACTTAACAAGTTCCCTTCTCTGTTGCCAAGCCTCAGGCTTCCCAAAGGCTATTACAACAAAAGAGAGTGCAGAGTAACCTACACTAAATTTGTGACTTTTAACAAGGCAAAAGTTTTGCATCAAGCTTTAAAAATGTTCTTTTTTTTTTTAAAGTGAAAATAGTAATCTCAAACACCTCCCCAAATAAAGTAAATAATGTTACCTGAGGATTTTTAAAGTTCATGCCGATCTTTTTAACAGAATGTTAAGCATAAATTTATAACTGGAGAATTATAACTAAAAAAATTTTACTCACCATCAATTCCTCAGGTGCTGGCCTTTCTTTAGGTTGTTTTCGCATGCTGTAGTAAGGAGAAAAAAAAAAAAAAAGACCCTCATCTCCATTATTTGTAAATTTTTGCTGTTAAGTTCCACCATTATTTCTCCTCAAATTTTGAATGTTTTCAAAATCCATCAGTTCAATTCTTGGCCAAAGTATTAACACATATTCCTTTTCATTTATTTTGACCTTTAATTAATCAGATTTCTGGGGACCTTATGAACTAGAAACAAAGTTTTTAAAATTATTTTTGCAATATAGATAATGAGTTTAAATTTAATTCTACTTTTGAAATTAATGTGGAAAAAGCAGCAATATTCTCCTTCTGACTCAGTTGTCAAATTATTTCAAATTTGACAACAATAAACTTCTTTTTTGGTAACTGGCATAAGACAGTAAGAAAAGAAATGTGACTGTCAAGTCAAATGAGAAAACATCTCATTCCTTCACTATGACTCTCAAATGACAAGCAGTACATAAAAGAGGTCAGGAATCTAGATAATGCTACAAAAATCACTAATGGGTTCTTACACATTATCTTGACTTACAATTATTTTGGCTATAATGCAAGTTGATAATTGATTTAACAACTGTGAGCTAAGTTTTTTTAAGCTGCTTAAAGAACCACATTCCTCATGCAAAGTATTTCTCATCTTCTATCCAATAGGTACAACTATTAGTAGCTGCGGCATGCACTTAGCTATGTGATGAAGCACCAACAAAGGGTACAGAGGAGATCACGGGTAGCTGCCTACTTGATGGCTGCATTCCTTCTAAACTTACAGGTCTGTGGGATGCAGTCATGAAGAGATTGCTGCTTCGATCACTTGGAAAAGAACACAGATGCCTTTTTTATTTATGTAAGGCATCCTTTAATGAACAAAAAGAAAACCATATAATCTCTGTATTTGCTGACAGTACTCTTTCTTAAATAGAGAGATTTAATATCATTTGGTAAACAAGAACCATAGTTATGAACCATTAATGGCATTGAGGGCACTTGCCTTCCCTATAAATAACCATATGCACCTCTCAAATAGTGCATCCATTAGCAAGTAATTCAAGCTGTCTTGCTAGTGGAGTTGGTAACAGTCCTAACCTGGCATTCCAAAATAGCCGTGTCTCTTGGGAAAACAAGGCTGTTATCTACTATCACTTCTGTTTTGGCTTGGTATCTGTGGAAATTTCAACAGATTTCAGGTCATCCTTCCCTCTGTCTCTATAAAACTTTTATATGACAGCTGATTAATTTTTTGGATAGGAGGACAATAAAGCCTTATATACTTCTCTCCCTGGCTGCCCAGACTAGTCCCAGTCCCATCCCCAGGTTGGACTCAGACCACACAGAGAGATACTCCAGGTATGTCACAAATCTAAAATCTCTGTCTCCATCTCTCTGGAATGGGGATAATGCTCAGGCAGCTTAGGAATCACAATATGTATGTTTTCTTTTTTTCCAATATTGCATGCTTTGGAAAACAAAAGTTTTTCAAACGCTACAGAATAAGTATTTTAAATAAACAGAAACAGCATTAAATTTTTTTAAATTGGGAGAGAATTTCTTCCTCACATTTTTTTCCTATGGAATATAAACTGTCTGAGGCATTTTTATTACAAGGTAACATATTACACTTAGTCAAAAAGGTGATAAAGCTTGACATTTATATTAAGGTATATTTCTTGGTTTCACTTTAGTGTAATCATCAGCTGGATCATGGGGGAGGGGAGCGTGCGCAGCCATGCGGATTTAGCAAAGACTCACGACTGCGCCACCTCACTGCACTCCAGGAGCTAGGGCTTCTGGCAGGGGCTGCCTGAGCCTTTTGTACCAGCAGATAGACTGACGGGGATGAGGAAAAGACTTTGGTGAAGAAGGAAGCGAGGAGAGGTTATGAAGGTGTTTTGGAATGTCTGGGGTAGGGGAGTTCTGTCTCCTGCTCAGGGAAGGTCATCATTCCTCAGCTTCCTCTCCTGGGCAAATCCCCACGGTGGGGTGAAGGAGAGGGCAGTGGAGTGACTGGCCTCCCATGGCCCGAGTCCCTCCCGAGGGAGAGGGAAACAGGATGGTGGAGCAAGGGCTAATAAAAGAAAGGCAGGTTCTGCCAGGAGGAAAAAAGCAAAAGGCTGGGAAAGAATTCCTGGCAGAAAAATGCCTGTTTCTTCAGGTATAGAATGACAAGGGGTTGACCTCAAGGCTCTAGGGCACCTTTGCCCTAAATCCTGGGGTTTCTCTCAGTTCCTTAGGGGCTGAAGTGGGCCTATCAGGACTGTTTCCACAGACCTTCAAACATCAAAATTCAGTGAAGTGGGACCCCAGTATTGTGCTTAAACTATAACCAAAGATAAAAGTTATTTGCTGAAAATTCGATGAATTAATAAACTATGCTATTTCCACTAAGTGACACTAGTTTTATGGGTAACTTGAGTTTACATTCATAAAAATAAGCTTCATACATCTGTTTAGTAGGGGCTATAAAATTGTGTATTTCTTAGCGCAAAAAAAAAAAAAAGACAACAGTGCCTGTGCTCAGAGAAGGAACCCAACTCTCAGCAGTTTATTAAAACAGGAGGAGCCTCTGAAGTACATTTATGATCCTTTGTGTAAATAATGTTACATAATTTAAATAATTTCTTTGGCCTTGCTGCCCCATCTGCTCAAAGCCTTGAAGTCCCTCCAGTCTCCCAAAGGAAGCAAGGAGAGCCGTAAGGTCTTGAGGAGCCGCACAGTTAATGGCATGTATCATTTACATTGAGGGTATGGCATGTTTGCAAACTGGCTCACCACTGAGTGATGAAATGTACAAATGGCTCGGAGAACTCTCCAACCGGAAGGATGGGCGAATCCTGGGAAGGAGGAAAAACAAGTCACCAAAAGTCACAACAATGCCTTTTCTTTCTTTCTATTGCACAACCCTGTCACCAACCCCCTGGAGTAGCAGTATAAAGATGAGCATAGTGATATAAAGCCTCATCTAGTTTGAAAGACTGGCTATCCCCTCTTCCACACCATTTAGGTAAAGATGCCAAATTTCAAGCCACACACATTTCACAATGGTGAGAAACATGAAAGCAAAGAGGGAGGGGAGGTGAAAAAAGGACAATGATAGCCACAGGGTAGGAAGGAAGGTAGGGAAAGTGTAAATGAGAAATTAATGATTATTTAAGTAACATACAAATGGTCTTGTAATTAACAAAGAGCTGTGAAATTATTCTTGTGTTGACCTTTGTTTCTTTTACTGGATTTGCTATTTTTTTACACTTTCCTGTTTATTTACATCTATTCTATATTCAACTGCTTTTAACTGATTGCTCTTTACGTACTGTGGGAGACTTTTTTTTTTTTTTAATTTCAATAGGAAGGCATTTATAGGGGAAGTTGTTTCCTGAAAAGAAATTTTAGACTATTTGTCAATCTAGGCCAACTTATCATATAAAAAACTCAGTGAATTAAGAACACAATGAAAAATTCCCATTTCAACAACCAAACAAAATTGTGGTCGAAGTGGTAGTCATTCAAATGAACAGAAAACTACATAGCAACAAACAACAATGTGTAACACAGGGAGCAAACCCTATTACCATTTGCAAAGGAAGGCTTTAAGAATTTAGGAGTTTGTCCAAGAGTGATAGAGAGTGCCACTGTGTTTATAGTGTAACAGCTCAGGATGTAATGAAATTACACTGCTGAGTACTTTAACAGTCATCTCATTAGACCTACAGTTGGAACAAGAGAGCCACATAAAGTAGGCAGCTGCAAATGACTCCATTCTCATCTATTCTCATTTGCTATTAAAAATACCTTTCGGCGGCTTTTTCCCTTTCTGACATCCCTACACAAAGTGCCCTGCAAAGTATGATACATGCACCTATTTAAATTAACAAAGGAATGACTTATTTTAATCTCACTGTGCTTTGGAGTGCTTTGGCCATTTGGATGAGCAATATATCATTACATACAACCTTCCAGCGCTGCAGGCTAGAAACTCAGAGCATGCAGCATTTGGTGGGAGCCAAACAATTTCTCTAGCACACAACTGTGTCAAATGCATGCATGTATTCATTATTGAGAACGAGAGGAAATAGCTTTGATGTAGTGGAAAAAAGAAGATGATAAAAGCACCTCTGCAATATGCGTGTCATTATCAATGGTGGCAGATAGATACAACTGCACAGCCTCCTATGTGATTAGTAAATATACATATAATTGCTGTGTCCAATTATCAGAAAAATGAGATCGGTAATTACAAGACAGAAAATTAACTAGAACTCTTATTAAGGCTTTGTTTCCAAGTCAAACAATTGGAAACTGCTGGAAAATACAACCAAATCAAAGGGAACTGAGGGGTCAGAGCAGCCAAAAAGAAAAAAAATCTGGAAGAGATTACAAAAAAAGATGAACAAAACATTCTTGGGTTTTGCTTTTTTGAATTTATTCTACTCATCCAGAGGACGAGATGGTTAGTGATTCTAAACTTAAAATTCTCATCAGTAGAGAAAAGCTTCCAGGAGGAAAAGAAAACAAAGGAAAATGAGAGTGAAACAAAATCTTTCGAAGTTCAAAGGATTACATGCAGGCATTACATAGAGGGGACATGAAAAACGGGGGCTGATGAATCAGTGTACTCAAAAGGAACAAGGCACACAATAACATGACAATTCCTCAATAAAGGTAGTGTAAAATGGTCACAGAAGTCCCGTTGGTTTGAAGAGTAAAAATAAAACGAGATATCAATTTCAGATCCAGCCTGCTCTAGGAAAGCTGTACATATCACTAAACCTGCGAGAATCTACAAAGTCCAGTTCAAGAAAAAACATTTCGCTGTTTCAAAAGCCATTAGTAAAAAGATAGTTCAAAGTCTGAGGTGCAAAAATCATGGACTTTCATCAATCAGGAAGCTTCTCTAAATCATTACTTTATTGGCCACCATCCCCCAGCTTTTTTCTTTTGAGAATACAGTACTAGAAGCATCTGAGTAGTAGTTGCTTTAAAATACAATACTTAGGAAAATAAAAGCCTGCTGTCTTAACATGACTGAATATTTACCAAGATGGTTAAAATTCTGTACTGGCTTTCTACAAAGATCTGATATAAAACATGATTCTAATATGGGCTTCATTTCAAAGTATGATACCAAGAGCAAATTAATGAATTATAGACTAAGAAACTTGATGAAGATGTCATTTTTACATGGATGAGAAGTAAAATGAGGAAATGTGACATCTTGCATGGATAGTTAATTTAAGACTTGATATTGTAGCCTTATAATATGATATTCATACAATAAAACTAAGGAACACTGGATGGTATCCATGAATAATTTACTTCACTTCTGAAAATGTCAGTACAAGTCAACTTTGCAGAACCACAGAGAGTGAGTGGATTCTCATCCCAATGGTGCCTGGAAAGAATCACTCATCAAAATTCTAGTCTCAAGTGCATAATGCCAGATATTTTTTATTCTAAAATCCATGTCTCTTGCATGTCTCAAGGAAGAATGTTTTGAGATGCAGAACTGACTAGTGGGGGGGGTGTCAAAAGGACACACAAAAATACTGGGCAAAGGTGGCCTCAGAGAGCCTCCAACTCCACATAAGAACCCAGGCTGTTAACACATCAAAGGAGAGCAAATAAGTATGCCTGAGAATGTTCACTTTGCTAAAGGGTTTTAAAGCACACTTTTTTCTTTTTAAGGAAAATAAAATTAGAAGTTAGTATGGATCCAGACGTGAAAGACATCCAAGAACCTGTCCATTTAGTTAGTTAGTTCAAATCTGTGGGAAGGAGGGAGAACAGTACACATTTAATCTGGGCTCCAGCTTCCCTGCAGCTCAACACATGCAGTCACTGTGGGGTTAGAGGGGGACTGAGAACCATCCCCAGGGATTCTGAGAATCTAGTAAAATAGTTGTTGCTACTTATCAAAAAACTCCTCTGTGAAATATGAGTTCAAGCAAAATTGAAATATGCACTTCAGAAACATAAATGTGGATAGAAGAAACAGTTACACTAATAACGCAGTACTGGCTGAAACTGACGCTAAATTGTTAATAAAAACCACTCTTTTTAAGACCCTGGGTGCCATACTTCACCTTCAGGGCTTTTCTGGATGCTTCTCTGTTGAACTTCTAAGCACAGAGGTTGGGATGAAACAGGTACAACCTTAACCAAAAGTCTCATCCTGAGACTCTAGTCTCAAATCAACTTTAGAGTCCTGCTAAGGGATACAAGTTGGATCCTGTTATCCAGCAGGCAATTGTTATATAAAAACAGCTGCCATAAAGCATTCAGTAAGAAATTCTGGTCATCAAGGAGGACAGTCTCTAAGCCTCAGAGGTTTGGTAACTATCTGGTCAGCGGCTTTCACTTGACAACTGGAACACAAGCATGCCACATGCCAGAGAAAAAAGGACAAGAGGAAAAAAGTTTGAGTGACGCCTTTGCCTTGTGAATAATGAACAGTTCAGGAAGGTCAAACCATAACAACTGAAACTGTTTAATTATTAATTATGCACAATCTATGAGCAAAAGGACAAGTTCAGAATGTTTAATGTATACTAAATTCAACTGGACTCTCTCTGGGTATTTTGTTATTAGCACTTGTCAGCAAGGTACTCAGGCATAAAAAGGCAAGCAGCAGAAAATCTGAGAGAGAGAGAGAGAGAGAGAGAGAGAGAGAGAGAGAGAGTGTGTACGTACCTGCTCACTCAAAGACCTGGAGAAGGAGGTTCAAGCAGTTGCCACTGGCTCACATGTAGAGCAAGTTTGACAATAAGCTCACTGTATGACCTCAAGAGCAGCCAGGTGAATTGAATATTCCAAATACACAAAGTACAAATGAGAAAAATGCCTTAGAAATGACTTATTAAAAGGAACATCATCATTTAAAAGGGCTGTTCTTTTTAGAAATCATGCTTTCTTGACTTTAAAAAGATCCATGTCACTAATCCTGCCCTCCCCTGAACAAGTGCATGTAACACTGGTAAAATATGAATAATGTCAATGGTTTGTTGTGTCAATGTTTTAGGTTCCTGGTTGCACTATTCTTAGAACATGTTACCATTTGGGGGAAGTGGGTGAAGGGCACGTGGGATCTTTCTCCACAATATTTCCTACAACTGTACGTGAATCTAAAATTACATCAAGAGGAAGTTTAAAAAGATGAAGGTTAGGAGATACTTTTGAAAACTCATACAAAGCTCAAATTCATAGCAGAACTCTGCTTCATATACGGGAGAAGCCTGGCATAAGTATCCAAATGGAAAAATATTAAGGGACCTTTGCCTAAAAAAAAAATGCTACTGATGACTTCAGTTCTGTCTTTAATTCGTAATTAAAGATGACAATGGATCTTGATAACAATGTGGTGATTAGTTCGGACGTTGACAGGCATAAACATAAAATACTGTACAAAAATGAAGCATTTTTATTTGCTCATTCATTCAACAATTTTCTTGAGTACCTACTATGTCAATGACATAGTAGCTATGTTAATACTTCATCCATATCCTCAAAGAATTTATGTATTATTCAGAGGGATGATATATGCATCCCTAAGAAAGAGCCCTGTAAGATGGAGGAAATGGCTAAGTAATAGTGCCAAGGTTGGGTGCTCAGGCTTTACTGGGGAGCCATGAGGGTTTGATTCACATCTGACTCCACAAGGCGTTGTGGGGAATAAACTTTTGCATTTTGGAGCATGACAAACCTTCTAAGTTTAAAAAATATCCCATTTCTAGACTTACTGCTGTCAAGGCATCAAGCCAACAGGTGGTTAACATCAGAGAATCACAGAGTCACATGGAGAGTGGTGCTCCACATTTTAAAAATAAGTCTTTCAACTCAAGTCTGATATTCCTGAAGCCTGGCCAGTAATTTCTGATCCTAAGCACTATGGTTCATACTTAATTGGCACAGCAGTTTTAGATCACTCCACTTCTATCCATGCTGCTGGGATCAAAGGTCATTTGTAGTTCCAGTGGCTTCCAGTCAGGCAGAATAGTATTTTGCCTATCAGATCCCAAACTGGTTTTTGATACTTCACTCTTCACTGCCTTAAAATAGCAACTTTGTGAGATAAATGGCGAAATTCATAGGACAAATCAGTGCTCTTCCAGGAGAGGAAACCTAGTTTATTTTAAAAACAGAAAATCTATGCATTGACTCTTTTGGATGTTTGACATCTTAACTGAGAATTTCAATATGTGAGTATGGTATATCTTTGTTTAATTCAATCATTTGTATTTCTTTCATCACCACTTTTGTTGCATTTAGCATAAATCTCTTGCAAATATTCTGACAGATCTATACTTAAGTAGCTCA